ATTTTCCATTAACAACTCCTTTAGTTGTTAATGCTGACTAAGGTATTATGTAACTAAAGTTTGTTAAAGCCTAATCTACTCTCATGTCCGTATTTGGGCGTCAATGCCATTAAACACCATCAAGCTAGCAGGCCCATCACTGGTGATTGATCTTGGAGTGACAATCTTTATTTAGCCTTTGGGGTACTCGGCTCTCCTCCCTCTCTCCCACTCTCTTATCTGCTCTGGACTGTTTGTTTTTTCAGTGTGCTGAGAAAAAGAACCGATCAATGTCGTGAGTTATGAAATGACAGTGGTGCCGTCTCTCAAACACTGCCACAGCAGACAGACACTCATTTGCCCCTTCTCCTCCACCACCACAGATACAACACATTCATCACCAATCTCTGTCTATTAGCCCTGTAACCACTGTCTGTCAGCTCGCTCCAACAACTCTGACAACTGGACTCCTGTACTAGAATCCTTCATTTTTTGTTTTACCTTCACGTCCTTAATTATCATAATAAACACTTCGAGGGTTATCTATAAAGCAACCATTTTCGGATATATGGACAGTTAAAGTAGTACTCCGCTCTTGCTTTTCCAACCCCAAGCTTTTATTAATTTATTAGGTGTCATTTTTGGTGTCAGTTTTCATCTATCCATTTCATCTGTATATTCGACCAATCCAGGGATAACACCTTAATTTCGCTTCACAAAAGACACATTGTGTACTTGCTTTTGTTCGGAATTAATAAAAAAAATGATATCCCCATTTTCACTGATCACGTTCCACTCAAAATAGACTACTTTCCTTAGGGAAACATCTTTAATCAAACACATGTGATCATAGATTAATTTATGTAGTAGTAGTTATTTTATTTATGTTAGCCCATGGCTCTCATGATATACAGAGCATGGATTTGTAGACCTTTTAAATTTGACGTTTGTAGACCTTTTTCTTCTACATATTTCAGATGAATAACACCATAAACTAAACAGACTGTTCTAATATACCTTCTAACCAAACCAGTTTAATGTTCTTGGTTATCAGATCATGTTTTCCAAGTTTTTTTCCTTTTCATTCATTTTGTCAATCCTATACACCTACAAAGTAGATGATGGTATACAAAGACTGTGAGTTCTCTGAAGTGCTGGATGCTTATCTATTCTTAGTTAGAGAATTCCCTCTTGTGCATCCCTACCATTGCTTTGACCCATTTTGGCCATTCTGGGAACATTAGAGGCATTAACCCATGATCAAAGTCACAGCATGTTGAGGTACCATTATTCCACATAAAAACTGTTGGGAACAGAATGGTTGGGTATAATGCAGTGACGAACTGGGACATAAATGATAAGTGATTTTAAAGTTATAATCCTTACGATTTCAGTTCAGATTAATTTAGCAGTACAGTTTAATTAGGTCCTTGAAATTTGGGGTCAGCAAACACTCTTTGGGCAGTTATGAAAAGAAAACAGAAGAGCAACTGGTGTGTCTACTGTATTCACAGAGAAGAGAAAAGAAACACGTGAGTCGAATAATATTTTTGTGAAAACATTTAAATTATATTTTGTAATTGACGCTTATTTAGATTCAGTGGATGATCAATCTTCTACCCGCACATGGTAAATCCGATTTTCTTATTTTTAAAGAATTAACATTTAATATTTTATTTAATTGACACTCTGAAGAACAAGCCATCTTCTGAGGCAAAAATAAATGGAAGAATTACACACTGGAACAAGCGAACTTCCGGATATCCCTGTAGTAATGAGACTACATGGCTGTGAAACGAAACCATTCAAGTTTAATACAGTCAAAATCCATTTACCCTGGCCAGAAAGTCTATTCTTGTGACAACTGTCATTTTTCCATTTTATACCGGCAGATTGGAGGGCAGCTTTTGAAGTCCTGGTCACTCTGAGAAATGTCTGCCACTGCCGCCATGATGAGAAGTGACTGGAGGATTCTTAGATTTATTAGCACTGTGCGAGCTGGTGTCTTCAGAGATTACGCCCCCTATCCTTCACCGTTCCAACGGCATGTCAAGCACCCAATTTCAATTTCCCTGGTGAGAGGATGGGAAGGCTCTGGCTGGCGACCCCCGCTCGTGACCCTGGGGTTTCACGATGGATGGGGGAGGTGGAGGGGGGACAGATACGGGATGCTCATGAATTAGGGATGACTTCAGCGGAGCGTTCAACTTTGGCCGTCCCGCCTGTATCGCCACAGAGAATCTCCCTGATAAATGGGCATCAACGGGAAGGACTGCTCTTCCTGGTTAGGTTTTCAGAGGAGCTCATGGTAGAGTTTAGCCCTGTTTAAGCCTATTTAAAGCATGGATCACATCTGCTGGCAACTTGGATTCTGCTCACTCATCAGTGGTTACAAGACAAACCTGAGATTAAGCTAAGCAAGTGCTTTGAGGATAAATTCATGCCTGTGGTCGAGGAGTTCAAGGACTATTGGAAAGATGGCTTTTCATAGATTGGTGGTTTTTCAAACCACTTGCGTATGCAAACGTTTTAGTTTCAGAATAGACCAAAATAGTAATTATAACCGTTTTGTCTTTATCAAGCTTTATCTTGAAGAAACCCACTAAAAACTGAATTTGAAGATTTACTTCTAAAAGTGTAATTAACTTACATATAACATTGATACCTTTTGGTATTCATTGCCAGGCTCTACTTTTACACACTGGTTTGGCTGCTATGGCTGAATAAATATCTGAAAAACAGAGCCCTCATTAAGGTTATTACCGTAATTTTCGGACTATAAGGCGCACCTGAATATAAGCCGCAGCAGCTAAATTGAATGATGTGTACATATATAAGCCGCACTGGAGTATAAGCCGCAGGTGTTTTAATGTTTTAAATTACCATATGTAAGGGTTCGTGCACAGAGGGGATTGTCGGGAAAGAGATGGCTGTTTGAGGAAGCTCCCATTTATTAACATTTCAACAAACAAGTTGCATATTTGCATAACGTAGACCCTCCAGAAAAACGCGATTCTGCGATCGCAGAATTTACCGCATAATCAGCAAAATGGCGCAGATTTTTAAAAGGCCCCATATTTATCAAAAGGCCGCATAATCCCCGCATTTTTCCACACAAAGTTGAGAGGAAAAAAAAGTTGACTCGTCTTGACGTGACGTCATCAACTCGCGCATCACAGAATGTAAACAACACTGTATAGGGTGAACGTGTGGAGCTCACACGATAGAGAAAACACCAAGATGAAAAAATCTAATCCATCTCATTTACCGACGAACATTTCTACTAAAGACCGGGCAAAAAGTGGGGGGAAACTATTCTGCACCCCATGCAACTGTGTGTTGGAGCATAAGAGAAAATCGACGGGGACGACCCACTTTGATTCATTCAAACATTCGAAAATGCTTTCTGCTGCTGCGGATAAGAAAGCCAAACAACTCACGTTCAGCGAGGCATCAACCTCCAAAACCCTTTCGAGGGCTACAAGAAACGAAGTGAGTAGCCTACAAGATTGAAGCTGCAGATAACGAACGAGTAAATGAAAACAGAATGAGGCAGAGAAGTGTGTCTGTGTGGGGGGGGGGGTGTGTGTGTGTGAGATTAAAAAAGCCCAATTGCTTTTACAATAAATAAACATTGAATGTGTTTAATTGAATAGTAAAGGGGTTTAACGTTAGTGGCAGTTTGTTTGTGAGAGAAAATAAATAAGACAGCCCAATATTTTTAAAAATTGTTATTCTTTTTCCCCACATATTTCGCAACTTTCCGCATATTTCGCAACTTCCCGCAATTTCGCCGCATAAAATCACATAAAAACCCCGCATGTTTAATCGCATAATCAAGGATTTTAGCCCGCATAATCAAGGAATTTAGCCCGCATAATAAAGGATTTTTGCCCGCGTTTTTCTGGAGGGTCTAATAACGTATTCAAGTGTTACCATTTAGTGCAATAGTAGCTACAGAACATGTACTGTGCTGTGTAAACTGTACTGTATCACATAGCGTTTCAGACACACAAACTTTTCAACTTTCAAACTCCCAGCGCACGTACCGGCAGTGATCTACAGCAGTGGTTTTCAACCAGTGGTACGGGGACAAACTGTCTCGCTCTCGTAATGTCTGTCTGTCTTGCTCTCGTTCTGCCTCTCGTACCACTCTCGGTTCCACTTTTACTTTTGCGCGCTACCTGTCTCGCTCTTTTCCGGCCTCCAGCTTTTCCTGCTGGAGCCCGCCGCTTAAAGGTGGGGGGCGCGGACCGGCCATAGAGCCCATAGAGTTAAAGGTGGTGGACTATAACCTGTAAAATCCATAGATTTAGGAGGTCCCCTAGTGGCCGTTAGCTGTAAAAATCCATAGATTAGCCGCACCGTTATATAAGCCGCAGGGTCGAAAAATGGGAAAAAAGGCGCGGCTTATAGTCCGAAAATTACGGTACTTACACCTGTGCTGTTCCTGCTAAGGTCAAATATCTTCAGTGGATTTTGATGAATCGGACATTAATGATGTCCAGACTAAAGCCCTTTGTCCCCATTACCTACTTGCCACCACAAATGAATTGACATACCTTTCATACACGCCCTGTCTTACGAAACAGTCATTTATCCAACTGTGTTACTTTATCTTTATTCCTACTCAATAAACTACAAGATAATATACCAGAAATGTGTTTAAACCGAGCGAATATGAGAGGTCTCGGAAACAAAAACATAATTGGAGGAGGTTGAACCCTCGTGCACAAGTATAAGAAATTCAATATATTCGATCATCTTTTTTCAAAACAACAGATTAGAAGTTGATGACGTCTGACGGAACTGATTTTATTTGCCTCAACTTTTTGGAAAACTAACAGGAGCATTTACTGATTCACATCCTCAGCTATCAATGTGAAGGATCATATTTTTGAGTGGCAATCGATCTTGAATAACCTTTTTCATTTGTTGATGTTACGAGGCTTGCAAGACTTTGAATGCTGAGGTTTTATATTAGTAAACTGGTAAAGTATTTGTGATAATAATGTACTGACCATCCATTCTGAGATGATGATGTCCACCTTCTCCACCGGCAGCTTGATGTCTTCTATGCGCCCTTTGATCAGAGTGATCTTGTCCTCCAGCTGGTTGGACCTGTGGGAAACATGCAGAGCTCAGTGTCAGAGGACTAAGAGGAACATTGCCTTGCGCTTGCTGATGGTTCAAGTAAGCCTTGTACTGTAGTTTTGCTGTGATGCACAACATCCAAAGCCCCAATAGCGACTACATTATGTATAATTTTTGTATTTGTTTAATTATTATTCAAGCAACATTGGCCTTCATTCGGACTTTTGCTCAAATTCATAGTCACTGCTCACTTCTGAAGGAAATTTCTGATTGTTAAGCAGCTAAATGATCTACTATGCTGTGCTGTACAAGTAGTGTACAGTGGTTTTATTAGTTTATCAACAGCTGTATATTTTGCGAGCAGGAAAGGACAAAAGCAGTAATCTTGTGTGTCGTGAAGCCGAGACAAGAAGCTTAAAGATGCTAAAACACTCACTAATGCTCAAAGGACCTAAAGTTAGGGGATGACCATCACGAGAGCAAACCATTTATACATTACACAAAGTCACTTGAACCATTTTAATTACCAACTCAAATCTGCACGCATCACCATTTTCATCTTAATTTAAAAAATGGTCATGGGTGCAGATTTCAGCCTCACTAATCTTGCTTTAAGCCACTGAAGATAGAGCAGCTACCTGGCACGAACATTTCCGTCACATAAACTGAAAGTAAGCTTAACGTAATGGACGATGTGTACATATATGCATACTGTGCAGCAATATGGTTCCAAAAAAATGTTGGCCAACCTTTTAAACGTGTACATTATGTTCCTCTTATATTCGGAGCCGTGTAGGCTAGAAACTGTAATTGTGGGCCTGCAGGGGTGTCAGGCTCAGGTAGGGACAGTAAGATCAGTGCCGCCGTTTAAATGATCCTTCCTTTCAGAGCGGCCAGTCCGGGTATCAATCTCTGTGAATATTCCATTATCATGACAGCTAATGTTACCGAGGACAGAACAATTACTCACAGCGGCCCAGAGTGCATTTCTGTGGCAGCGATCCTTATCTTGAACTGTCTCTCCCCTCTCTGCTACCGCTGCTATCACCTCCTCCCAGGACCCAGCGCCCCCCC